CAGAGGGAACCCTCGGAGCATCTGGAGAAGCATAAATCAGTAATAAAAATGAATATAAACTCCAAATTGTAATCTCTATGTATCTTAATTCTCTTCCACCCAGGCCTCCACCTGCTGGTTCTTACTTGCATTACACGTTCCACTCATTCACACACTAACTTGACAGGACTGGTTTTCCTTACTAATATCATATTTCAACTTAAGTTAAAATTAAATCTTATGTGTGATAAGCTGTATAGTAACCTAGGGCAAAAGTTGGACACTTGTGGCACAGTGGAGTAAACGTTCAAGGAACGAGCGCAGTAATGCTCGTGTTCTTTAAGAATTAGTCTCCTTTATAGAGATTTTTGATTCACCAGCTACAGGTCACTGTCCCTCTACTATCACACCAGTGGGGATCATTGACACAGAGGGGAGCTTTGGAACATAGAGGAGGAGAATTAGTAATATGAATTGAATATAAAATAATGACAAAGCCTGGTTTTGTGAATTACTGATGCTTTGAAAGTCCTTAACAGCAGGGCAAATCAATGAAAAACCCAAACTACAGAAGAAAGCAGATATGATCAGCAAAGCAAGCCTAAAATGCTGAAAGTCATCACCCAGATGTTGCTTTTCAAAAGAGCTGTTTCACTCACATTTCACATTAATAGAGATGTATTCAGATGTTCTCCTCCCCAGCTTGTTCTCTATCATACAGTAATACTCTCCAGAGTCAGAGGACTGGATGGACCTGAAGACAAGCTGTGGTTCTTTACTGGGAGGATGAAGGTCTGGATTTCCATTCTCTTTGTACCAGGTATAAGTAGGTGCTGGGATAGCATTAGTGCTACAGATGAGAGCCACCGGACTCCCCTCCACTATCACACCAGAGGGACTCACTAACACTGATGGAAGATTTAGAATATCTGTAGGAAGAAATAAGAACATAAATCAACTTTAGTATGAAAATGTGTCTGACCCTAAAAGTGGGTGAACAGTCAGAAATGTGCAAATCCTATCATTTCATTAAACAGCTTGCTGTTTCATTCACATTTCACATTGATTTTTGTATTTAATTCAATGTCTTCCCTGATTTTGTCATATTAAATTTAATTAATTTAATTAAGTTTTACATTTTGTTAGTTACACTGTGTAGTAAACTCACACACTGAAGGAGAGGGGAAATCCTCATGTCCTTTAACAGCACAGGAATAGTTGCCGGTGTCATTAACAGAGACTCTCTGAGAAGAGGTTTCTTCATCCATTTTCTGTCCATTAATGTACCAGACATATGAAGCAGTATCCGGTACAAAACACCTGCTGTAACACTTCACCTCCAACCGAGCTGATGATCTTTCCACCTGCACCTGGAGTTCTGGGTCTGATATGCCAAGAACCGAAATGTAAAACTATACCATCAAAGTAAACAGAGGCGAGCAGACAGGTCTTTCCTATATGCCAATTGTAATCAAATGTTTCAATGAAAATGTTACCTGTGACAGACAACTTGACTCCAGGTAAACCAGTATAACCATTATTTTCTGTTTCGAATCTGAACTTATATATAACTGAGTCACTCTCTCTCAGATCTCTGATTCTTAGAGTGTGGTGGCAATCATGGCCATTATATTCCAAACGACTTGTGTAGTTTAAATCTGTTAACAGATCCGTAGGTTGATCATTAGGCCCTTTGGTAAACCACATTTTTTTCACAACTTTCTCGATTCTGGATGGGTATTTGTAGGTGCAGCTTATGTCCACTGTTGATCCTTTTAAGGCACAGATCTCAGTAGAGGTGTAAGTCACTCCCCAGTCATTCTGACCCTGTACCACTGTAACACAGAGCACATCAGTCAAATTCACAACAAAAGAGGAAAGACAGCAAAATCTATGGAGGTTCTTCAACATGGTAATCTGCAGGAAATAGATTTCAGATTTTTACTTTTTAAAATAAATTCTATTAAAATCTATTTGCATCTAGTATGTAGGGGAAACTACGGTGGAAAAGGCTGTATCTAGAGGCAGTATTTGGTTTATTGTGTTATGTGGTGTTGTTTGTTGTTCTAGGCTACAGTAGAGACACTTAAACCTGGCGGACTCTGTAGAAAAGGACCAACTCCAGCTGTTGAAAATAATTACGCATTCCAACGAAAACATAGGGATTCTTATTTTTAGTGATTATACACCGATGAAAACATGCCTGTGAATATTACATTTAATTTCTGCCAGTATGTCACAATTCAATTCAATTCAATTCAATTTTATTTTATTTGTATAGCGCCAATTCATAACAGAAGTTATCTCAGGACACTTTTCAAATAGAGCAGGTCTAGACCGAACTCCTTATAACATTTACAG